TGTGAATTAATCACACAATTCACACAATAATGTAATTTCACATACAGCTTGGCAAGCACATAGACGTTTATGAGTCAGACATTTACTTCAGAAATGTCTCTAATAGCTGCAGCCTCTACTGTGTTTGTAATGATAAACTTCTCAATGGCCTTATCCATTGGCATGCAGTTGGCACAGTTTGTGCAGTGTATAAGTTGTTCATGACCCTGGCCCTTTCTGGCATGTTCATTGTTTCTTCTTTTCATTGTAATTTTGGCAGCATGGACCCAAGAACTAGCCATGCTTTTTTTCCCCTTTCATACTCTCTACTCACTCAATTAATCCATTTTGTATCCTCCAGAAGACAGCCTTGAGGAAGGACAAGGGAATCTGATAATATAGCCCCTCTGACATCCTTCTCTGACCAGGCCACTACTCCCAAGGACCCTGGAGATTGGACCTGGCTATTCTGGTTCTGTTCTACATAGGGTCACTATGAGTTGGAGCTAACTCAATGGCACCTAACAACAGTAAGAGCATTTTGGTGTCCAGCCAACCATCTTTGCCTTCTCTGAGATTCATCTCCTCCTAGATCCCCTGCAGAATCTTGTTTGTCTCCCATAGACTCCCTCCCTCACTGCCTCGGAATTCTGCATTCCAGTTACCCCTCCTTTCCCAAGAGGGCTTGTGAGAGTTTTCACTATCATTGAGCACACAATGTCCAGTGGCCTAAAGTGATAAGCCTACGCTATAGAGTATAGAGTAGGCAGGCTTGGACCTGCTGGGAAGAGCAAACAGAGATTTGCAATATTGTTTATCACACAGGTCAGTGCTAGTGTTGGCCCTTCTATGAACTCCCAAATTGAGCAAGACCTTGGGCTAGGTCCACATGAGATAGACTGTCTCTAGCCAATGTTTAGATTAGCCAGGAACTTGATGTGCTTTCTCCCTTCCTTTCTTCTCTTCCTTCCTTTTTCATTTCCATAATTCATTCCATTTGTTTACCACATATTTTACCAAGTACATACTGTGTCCACAGCCCTGTGCTGAGCTCTGTGGGGGATCTGGAGATGCCATGGATGTGGTCTCTGCATTTGGGAAACTTGACTAGAGTCAAGGATCCTAACTAGCCATGTGACTGAGCCACCCACTGGTAATAGAGGATCTCCTGATGTGCCTGATCCCTTCCCAGCCTCCTTCCTCACTGGTGTCCCTGGAAGTTCCCCCTTCCTCTTGTGTCTACCTTACTTTTCCATCTTCTTTTCTGGGTTTTCATCTCCTCCTTCCCAAGACCCAAGAGCCCAGTTGGACGGAGCAGAAAGAGCTTAAATCACAGAGAAGCCAGATTAACAGGAATTTGGAGTTAGAAGAAGCCTTTGGCTGATCTGCTTCATCTGAGTCCCATTCTACTTCTTGTCAGTTGTGCTTGGGCCCCTCTGCAGCATCCTACCAGGAACAGGAGACCCTGACCATGATCACAGTCTGAGCCCACACCTACCTCCTCACTTCCAGCTTTCCCCTACATGCCCTTAATTTTCCAGAAAAAACTTGGTGAAACTGAAAATAGCTCCCAGCAGACCAGCCCACTGCTAGAGCTACAGTATCTCTGAACAAACTGGTGCATCCTCTCTGTGTGGCATTCAGCTGCCTGGCCAGCTGCTCTGAGATACACAACTATATGTCTCAGGCCTGTCCTCAGACTCCCTGAGCTGGAATGTTTTCAGGGTATGGAGGCCTGGGTTGAGTTTGTTTTTCTTCAGAGGGAAGGAAGCAAGGAAAGATCAGGGCAGCAATCTTTGACCACACCCTCCTCATCCTCACGTTTGCACTCTTTGTGACCTCACCAAGAAAAAACAATAGGTGGAACTAGGGATAGCAAGCCAAATGTCACCACCATCTTTTCTGTTCCCCAAGTCCACATAAGGTCAACATCAACTAGTTGAACCACACCAAAAAAAAAAAAAAAAAACTAAGAGAACCATCCAACTCAAGTCGGAGCAGACTGAGAAGCTTGACTGAGACTGTTTCTGCTGCCCCTCCTGTTAACAAGCCTTCCCAAGCCATCAGCCAGTTGACCTGAAACTCAGTTGGCCAGTGTTCAAGAAACCAAGGTACTGCTTAGCCAGTTTGCTACAGCCACTGGCTACCACAGCAGAGGGAGCAGAGAGTCCTAATGAGAACAAAAATAAATCTATTCACAAAATGGTGGTGGGAGTTTAGAAAAACGAATGGTTGGGGAAGGGTGAGAGATGGGATTCCCACCAGTATGTTGGAGCTCCCTCAAGGCAGGTCATGTGATCTCAGATTCAGAGTAACTGAATTGCCCAATCTATCATCACCTTCATAAAGTGAGAATCTCTTCCCCCCTCTCTTGTGACAGGAAATTTACAACTTTTCAAAACAACACAACCCATCCGTGGACTGTTCTAATTCTTGGGCACTAAATTGAAAACAACCCACCTGTGGCTTTCCCCCTATGAGTCCCTGCTCTGCTCTCAGGAGCCACACAAGCTCCCACTGACCAGAGCAGTCCTGCAGGGCTTGGGAGTTGGGGGCCAGATCTCCCTACGCCTATGCTCCTCCAGGATGGGCATCTTTGTGGTCTTGGGTAGCCTCATCCCAATCATCTCTCCACCCTGGGAACTCAACACACATTCTAAATTGTTGATGCTCAGCATGTCAGCCAGTGTCAAAAGACAGCAAAGCTGTGTATTTAAAGCAAAAGGGTTAGGAGCACCTACCAAGAAAAATAATCCAAAAGTGAGAAGAGGCAGCATGTCTCAAATAACCATTGGTGAAAAAAAGTGGACTTAATTTAAACAATCTCTTTGGGCACTCAGTTATGAAGTTGAGCAGCAGGCTATGGGGAAACTGAAGAAAGGGGATCTAATGGTAAAAGTTCCCAAAGAACAGAGAAGTGATTTCTCCACCACTCTGGTGAAAACCAGGTACCTTCATTCTTCATCCTTCCTAAGACAAATGTACTTATACACTTACATGTGAAGACACAAGACAGAGAAAGGACTCCTGGGTCAGATTGACATGAGGGTTTTCCCCCACCCCATGATGCTCCTACGCACCAAGTATTAACTAGTAAGTGGATATGGGCCTTGCTCAAAGTCAAAACAGAAAAAAAAAACAAACTCACTGCCATCGAGTCTATTCCAACTCACAGCGACCCCTCCTTGGGTTTCCAAGGCAGCATCTCTACAGAAGTAGATTGCCTAGTCTTCCTTCTGAGGAGTGGCTTGTGGGTTTGAATCTCCAGGCTTCTGGTTAGCAGTCAAATGCCTTTGGCACTATGCCACCAGAGCTACACAACTGGAATTCATACCCAGGTCTTTAGATTGCAAAGCCTGTGCTCTATACCTAATATCTCTCCTGTCTTCAACATTCAAAAATGAACTGCAGCCCCAGGAATGACCAGGCTTGATGTGGAGAGTAGGGAAGCATCTAAATCCCTAAGAAGAGAGGACAAAAGGAACCCAAAAGAAGGACCAAGTGTCTAGGGTGATGCAGACATTGGTCCTCATCCTGATTGAATAGTTTTGCTGCCTGAGTTCAATCCCCCAGGAATTCATCACACATTTAACAAATAAGCACTAAGCACCACTCTTTCTTGAATTTGAACTCTCTCCTGGATGTCTTGCCACATCTCCTGATGTCCCCTCTCAGCAGCTCTTCCCCAGCATTTGTTCCTCAAAGACATGTGCTCTTGAAAACCTAGTCCTTTCTTTCTACTCATTCTGCACCTTCTCCCTGGTGGCTCTCCTCCACTCCTGTGGCTTCTTTTGCCATCTATCTGTGATTTCTGAATTCTCTATTTATCCCAGCTCATCTTTCTTCTGAGCTCAAGGAATATAATCAATCACTCTTTTGGACTGAAGCAAACACTGTGTTTCTCTCATACAAATCTTAATTCCTATTTTAGTATATCCAATCAAGTATTGGCTGAAGGCAGAGTTGCATGCTTTCTGTTTTCTAATATATAATACCCAAAATTCATTTCCATAATACATTTATGTCTGTTTCACAACACTAGGTAGGAGAAACATTCATTATCTATAGTACAAATAAACACATAACCCTTTTTAAAACATTCCAGTTTCCAGTTCCATATTCTCTTCTCCACACCTTGACTATCTTCCTATTCTTATGAATATAGCCTTGGGCCTCTGGCTGGGTCTAACAAGAAGATCCTGGCCCCTTGTCAATCATCTTGCTTAACTGGCCTGACTTTTGCCTCAAGCCACCCCAGATGTGGCTTTTCTCTACTTAGCTGCAGCATAACATCTCTTACCTTCTTTTCAACTATTACAGGGACCAACAGCCAAAGTAACTGTCTAAGAATCAGAAGTTTCATTTCCCATGCCCTTTCATTCTATCTGAAGTCTCTCACGTGACAGCACTAATCTCTGCCTTTGCTTTCATTTTCTGTCCTAAAAATGAAATTTTTACATTGCACAGAGCAGAGGACACTGATTAAGCCCTAAAACAGACTGACTAGTTCCATCATGGGAGCTCTGGTAGTAGTGCCTAAGGCACTTGACTGTTAACCAGAAGGCTGGCGGTTCAAACCCACCAGCCCTCCTCGGAAGAAAGATAGGGCAATCTACTTCCATAGTGATACTGCCTTAGAAACCCAAGGAGGGGTCACTATGAGTCGGGTCTGACTTGATGGCACATAACAACAACAGTTCCATCATACAATCCAGGTATGTTACTTTTGTACTATCCCCAAGCTTCTAATAGAGCCATGTCTGAGTCTTGGGTTTTGGGACAATGGGAAGCAGTCTGTGGCCTGCTTGGTCCCAGCTCTGAAGCCCCATTCCCCACTGAGGCTGGCTTTGGAGGCAGCGGTGAGGGAAAGATCCTGGTGGGAAAGCTGAAGGGGAACTATGGCTCCCAGAACATCATTCCTTTCTCCAAGCATAGGTTCTACCTCCATGGTCCCCAGGAAATAATGTTTGATTTTCTGAAGGAAGGGAGACTGTTCCCCACCCCATTTTCTCCCCACCTACCTCAAGGGCATGCCCAAAGAGCCAGTGGGTGGGAGGGCCTGGGAAGCTGTCCATAGCCCTGGCCAGCTTCTGCCTCCGCAGCAGTAAGTGAGCAAGCTTGAGGAAGACTAAGACCAAGATAAAGCCAGAAGCCCACAGGACCAGACGGGAAAGGCTCAGGGAGAACATAAGGGATCCCATGGCTGGAGTTGCAGCCTCAAGTTACAGCTGCCCAGTTTCTGAGCTGCTTCCTCAAGTTACGGCTGCCCAGTTTCTGAGCTGCTTTCTGTTGGCCTGGCTTCCTTATACTCTGGATAGAGGCACCCCGCCAGGCCCCACTCACAGCCACACCCTGCATCCAGCAGCAACCCAGGTTGGGCTTCAGCTCATGGGGCAGTGTTGTTGTTGTTGTTGTTAGTAGCCTTGAGTCAGCTCCAACACATAGCAACTTTATGTAAAACAAAACAAAAAACTGTCAGATCCTATGCCATCCTCACAATCCTTGCTATGCTTGAGCTAATCATTATAGCCACTGTGTCAATCCATTTCATTAAAGGTCTTCCCTTTTTCATTGACCCTCTGCTTTACCAAGCATGATATCCTTCTCCAGGGACTGGTCCCTTCTAATTACGTGACCATATGATGGAGACAAAACCAAAACCAAACTCACTACCAAACTCACCCCACAGTGATGCTATAGAATTTCCCCTTAGGGTTTCCAAGGCTGTATATCTTTATGGAAGCAGACTGCCATGTCTTTCTCCTACAGAGCAGCTAATGGGTTCAAACTTTAACTACTGTGTCACCAGGGCTCCTTCAAGTCAGGGACCAAAACCAAAACCAAACCCACTCCCGTGGAGTCAGATCCGACTCAATAGCAACCCCTCCTTGGGTTTCCAAGGCAGTATCACTACAGAAGTAGATTGCCCAACCTTCCTTCTGAGGAGTGGCTGGTGGGTTTGAACCACCAGCCTTCTGGTTAGCAGTCAAGTGCCTTAAGCACTCACAGACAACCAACAGAAGAGCCTGACTGACTTCTCCCAAAACTCAAGAAAGACAAACCAGTTTCAAGAAACTAGTCAATGGATATCCTAACTTGGTTCCTTGGAGGAACTAACAGAAGGCAATTCTTGGTGTAATCATCACTATAATGACTGTCTTTTTATTTTATTTTATTTTTTAAGTACCTTGTATGTTCCAGGCACTTTCTACACACTATCTCATTTAACCCAAGCATTCTTTATACACATTTTCCGGATCATGAAACTAGGGTTCAGCTTCCATGTGCTCTCTCTTATAAGAATGCTTCCCCTGACTCCCAACATTGTGGACCCCTGGTAGGATTTGCACTTATTCGAGGCACAAGATGCTTTGGAACCCTTTTTTGTCAGGTGTTTGTTTCTTTGTTGTGAAGCATGTTTGGGAATAAGGTTTTAGCTCCAGAAGGGAAATTCTGGGTCAAAAAGGGCCAACTTCATCTACAGGACCATAGCACAAACTTGACACTTAGAACATCACTTTCATAGTAATAAGGATGGGGTCATCAAATTCAACCTCCCTGCTGAGTTGGTGGAGTCACTGAGAGCCCAGAGAGGGTCAGGGAAGCACCCAAAGTCAGAGATCAAGTCAGTAGTAGCTCTCAATTCCCCAGCCCAGGGAACTGTTGATGAACAAGCTTGACACCAGATACAAGTCTTGACTAGGGAAGGCCTCTTGGTTCTTCCTCCAGTCTTGGGACATATCAGTCAGGGTCCCAGTGGGAAACAGAATTCACTGCAAGTATTTCAGAGTGACTTGAATGCAGCACTCCTTTCAGAGGGTGAGAAAATAAATAAAACAAAATATGACATATCATCCAGAGACTAGCAACAGTGGGAAACTCATCAACATCCCTAGGTTGAAAAGAAAGAGGAAGAAACAATGTTCCTGTAGTCCCCAAGGAGAGGGAGTGCCTGGTGGATGCTGTAGTCCTGGGGACACAGCAATTGCCAAAGAAGTACTACCAGTGCAGGGAATGAGCAGAGGATAAATGTCCCTACCTCTCTTTTCTCCCACCCTTCAATTGCTCACTGACATCGCGCATCAGCCAAACCCAACCAGAAGAGAGATAACAAGGGAGGTCAGGGGAGTTAGTGTACAAAAGAAGGTGAAGACTGAATCTGTTATGGAGATGGGGGTTGGGCTGCAAACCAGCACACAGACGGACTTGGAATTCAGATTTCAGATGCTAACTCAGAGAATGGTTAGATACCAACATGGTCTCCTTGTTCCTTCCAGTAGAGAACACCAAGCCTCCTCATCCTCCTCTGCTGGGGAGGCACCCACAGGCCAAGGAGGCAAGAAGATAGTGCAATGAAAAGAACTCCAAAAGTGTTCTCTCCATTGGTCTATCACCTACCTGAAATTCTACTGCTTGTTCTTTATTTCATTGCTGCAAGACACTGAGTGCATCATTTAAGATGCAAGTCACCTGATCAGAGAGTAAGGGAACATAATAAGTAGTAGCAGGCTTCCATATTTTAGGGTGGATTTGTTTATTGGCATGGTCCCATCCTGGCAGTGTGATGAAGGGAGTGTTTGGAGAAGAACATGAGAAAGGTCCCCACCTGATGAAGGAGCTTTAGTTTCTGGCAAAGACCATGTAGGATTCTCCTAAGAAGTAAATAGGGTTAGCCTAGAAAGTGTACAGTGGGCATTGACTGAATGCTTCCCCAACATTCATTCCCTGCTTCCCCCTTTCAACGCTGTACCAAGAATTTCTTGGCTTTGCAGTTTAATGGAAATGATCTCACCTCCAATTCCAGCAGCAGCCCATATTTATTTAGGATAGTTTGCATTCACCTTGGCCACAGTGACTGACTGTTCAAGAGTAGGTACATGATCAAAGCAATCAGGGGTGTTTGCCAAGAAGCTAATTCGTATTCATGATGACCCATGTGTAACAGAGTGTTAACTATGCTCCACAGGGTTTTCAATGGCTGATATTTCAGAAGTAAATTGCCAGCCTGTTCTCCCAAGATGCCTCAGACTCAAACAGCCAACCTTTTGCTTAGCAGTCAAATATGTTGCACTATCCAGGGACTGCAATCAGGGCTAATGAGACTCACTGTCTCATCTTTGATTAAGCTTTCTTGAAACAGCCTCTCTCTTTAATATGGGATTTTAACATGGAAGGATGTAATCTCATTTTAAAAAGAAAACCTGACAAGAATGGACCCAACTCTCAAGCAACAAATGGAAAAATATACACAGAGAAACCAAATATTAGTCACATTGTTTGAACTCCTGGGACCAAGATGCACCTAAAGCTAAGAGTGTCTTTGGATCTTTTAACTATGTGAAATCCTGTTTATTTTTTAAATTCAGTTTAAATTGAATTTTCTGTTGTTTGAAACTAAAGGACTCTTTAGTGATATACTGAGAAAAGCCCAAGAAAGCATGAAAAGCTTGCTAAAGTTGGGTTGAAACATATTTAAAGGTCTACCCAGGACAAACTGAATTGAATTGAGATGGGCCAAGTGAGATTAATATGGTTTGTTTTGAGCAGTGGGGCTAGCCCAGAAAGTATGAGGGAGAGTCACAGAGAAGTTTCAAGTTGAACTGGCATAGGCAAAACTTCCATAAAAGTGGAGCAGGCAATGACCTGAGATTGGAGAAAGTAAGGGTCATAGTTTGGGGGAGGAGGAAATATCTGAAATATTATGAAGTAGATACAACAAAGGGGAAGGATTTGTCAGAAAACTGTGGCACTGAGAGCATGGTTGGGTGAAGCCTGGAACAGAGGAGTAAGGAGACTGAACTTTTTCATCTAGGCTGCAGAATGCCATGGAGGGAGGGGACTTAGCGGACGAAAAAGTTTTCAGAAGTGTGTTCCAGAAATATCAACCCCTCTGCATCTGTCAAGTAACCTGGGTTGGTGGGGATAGGGCCTGCCAAAGACCTCGAGACTGGAGAGGAAGTTGATGCATTGTACTAGTGGGAAGCAATAAACTTAGCTATCATTCTTTCATTCTTGGAAGACAAAGTTCCCCCTCCCAATCACTTTACTAATCTATAAAAGTCATTAATAATTAGCCCAATAGGGCAAAGAGTCCTCAGAGTGAGATTACTCAGGTACCAGTTATTCAGGTCTGCTACAGCTGTCCACCTGATCTGGCTAGGTTCTCCAAGTTCATCTCATCTCCACCCTGTCTGGCATCTGATAAAATTTAACTGAGAGAAGATTATTTCCTTACTCTGAGCCTCTCTCAAGGTATCAGCATAGCAAGATATTTAAGGGACTTTTGGTTTGGCCACTGTACTCCAGCCTAGCAGTGCTTCCCATTAGTCTACTCTTTCACAGTTAGAGCTTCCACACTTATAGTTTTCATAGTCACAATTTACCCTGTTAAAAACTAACAACTGAATCGTATAATCCTATCATCATCATCACCCACCCTATCTTTCCAGACTCATCAGGAAAACAGGCATCTGTTCTTTGGGGATTCTCCCTAGGCCCCCTCATTTTGAGTGTAAGCACACCCGTGAAAGTGTGTAAGCCAACCACTTTATGCCATTATCTCATCCCATTTTAGGTAGCCAATGCTCAAATTGCCTATCTCTATCAAACCAGTTCTTTCAGCTTAAGAAATTCCAAGGGTATGCTTCCCTTTTGATTTTCTAACTCCAGATCTTTGCACATTTCTTTATAATACTTTACATTATCTTCTTCAGTGACTTTTTGAAATCTTCTGCTCAGCTCTTTCATATCATCATTTCTTGCATTCGCTTTAGTTACTCTATGTTCAAAAGCAAGTTTCAGGGTCTCTTATGACATTCGTTTTGGACTTTTCTTTCTTTCTTATCTTTTTAATAACCTTTTGCTTTCTTTGTGTTTGATATCAACCTACAAATCACCTGGTCTTTGGTCATTAGTGTTCAATGCCTCAAATCTATTCTTCAGATGGTCTCTAAATTCAGGTGGGATAACTCAAGGTCATATTTTGGCTCTCATGGACTTATTTTAATTTTCTTCAGCTTCATCTTGAATTTGCATATGAAAAATTGATGGTCTGTTCTGCAGTCAGCCCCTGGCCTTGTTCTGATTGATAATATTGAGTTTTCCATTGTCCACAGCTATAGTCAGCTTCCAGTGCATTTCATCCAGCAAGGTCCATGTGTATAGTTGTTGTTTGTGTTGTTGATAAAAAATACTTCCAATGAATA